GATGGATGGATGGATGGATGGATGGACAGATGAATGGACAGACAGATGAATAGATGGACGGATGGATGGATGGAGGGATGGATGGATGGATGGATGGACAGAAGGATGGATGGATGGATGAATGGACAGAGAGATGGATGGATGGATGGATGGATGGACAGATAGACAGGTGAATGGACCGACAGATGGATGGATGGATGGATGGATGGATGGATGGATGGATGATGGATGGACAGATAGATGGATAGATGGATGGATGGATGGATGGACAAAAAGAAGGAAGGAGTGACGGACAAACGAATGGATGGATGGATGGATGAATGGATGGATGGACAGATGGACAGACGAATGGACAGACAGATGAATAGATGGACAGACGGATAGATGGATGGATGGACAGATGAACAGACGAATGGACAGACAGATGAATAGATGGACGAATGGATGGATGGAGGGATGGATGGATGAATGGACAGAGGGATGGATGGATGGATGGATGGACAGATGGACAGGTGAATGGACCGACAGATGGATGGATGGATGGATGGATGGATGATGGATGGATGGATGGATGGATGGACAGATAGATGGATAGATGGATGGATGGATGGATGGATGATGGATGGATGGATGGATGGATGGACAGATAGATGGATAGATGGATGGATGGATGGATGGATGATGGATGGATGGATGGATGGATGGACAGATAGATGGATAGATGGATGGATGGATGGATGGATGATGGATGGATGGATGGATGGATGGACAGATAGATGGATAGATGGATGGATGGATGGATGGATGGACAAAAGGAAGGAAGGAGTGACGGACAAACGAATGGATGGACATATGGATGAATGAAATAATTTTGTTTTTGGAATTGTCTAATGGAGAGTGTCGTCTATTAAATGCAGTGACTAAAATATCTGACACGCCTGCATACAACACGTTTACATCATATGTGTTATCAGTTTATTAATTATGCAAATGTCTCATTAAAATATTCTACTGCTTAAAACTGATCGCAGAAGTAAAACATTACTCACGAACATTTAGAACTACCCCAGATGACTTAACTGCTTCCTATTATTTATTAAAATAAATCAAACTTTAAATCTATAAGACTATCAACTGCACTGCAAAAACTCTGTGTGTGAGTGTGTGTGTGTGTGTGTGTGTGTGTGTGTGTGTGTGTGTGTGTGTGTGTGTGTGTGTGTTTTCACCGTCCAGGTCGTTCTCAGGTGTCTCAGCAGTCAGCCACTCGCTGCTGGGCCCCGTCCCGTTCACCGTCATCCCTGACACCTGGAAACTGTACTGACTGCCCTTCTCCAGCCCTGCACACACACACACACACACATCACAGATACAGTCAGAGAGAGTGTGTGTGTGAGAAAGAGAGAGGCAGAGGGAGAGAGAGAGCAAGAGAGAGAGAGAGAGAGTGTGTGTGTGTGTGTGTGTGTGAGCAAGTGTGAGTCTGTGTTTGTGTGTGCATTCAAGAGAAATTGTCTTTGTATGTTTTTGAGAGTGTGTACTTGTGAGAGAGTTTAAGTCAGTGTGTGTTTGTGTGTATGTGAAAAGACAGTGTGTATGCATATATATACATATATTTGTGTGTGTGTGTGTGCGTATTTGTAAACCCCCAAATCAGAAAAGAGTTGGGCGAGTGTGGAAAACACAAATAAAATAAGGGAGCAGAGATTTCCAAATGGACTGTGACCTGTGTTTGACTGCAGACGATATGAACACACAATACTTGATGTTCTGACTGGTCAGGAAGCCTAAGAGCCAAGAGCGCAAGCCTAAGCTGAACAAGCGTGACTTCCGACCCCTCAGGGGGCGCTGCATCAAGAGTCCTCAATCATCTATAAGCCACATCAGCACATGGGCTCAGCACTACTGCGGTAAACCTTTGTCAAGCACCACAATACAGAGTTACATCCACAAACGCCAGTCACAACTGCACTGTGTCAAGAGGAAGCCCTATGTTAACAGTGTCCAGAAGCACCATCCTCTTCTCTAGGCTCAAAGGCATTTGGGACAAAATAAAATGTGTGTGCGTGTTTGTGTATGTATATGTGTGCGTGTGTATATATATATGTATGCATGTATGTGTGTGTATGTACATGTATATATGTGTGTATTTGTGTGTTTATGTGTGTATGTATTTACGTATATAAATGTGTGATGTGTGTGTGTGTATGTGTGTGTGTATTTGTGTTTCTTTGTGTATGTATGTATGTATGTATATGTGTGTGTGTTTGTGTGCATGTGTGTGTGTATATGTGTGTATGTATATACACGTATATGAATATGTGCATGTGTGTATGTATGTGTGTGTTTGTGTGTGTATATGTATGTATATAAATGTGTACGTGTGTGTGTATGTATGTGTTTGTGTGTGTGTATACGTGTGTGTGTTTATGTGTGTATGTATATACATACATAAATGTGTGCATGAGTGTGTGTGTGAGAGTATTTGTGTATATGTGTGCGTGTGTATGTAAATATGTATGTGTGTGTGTATATGTACATGTATGCATGTGTGTGTGTATGTATATTTCTATATGTGTGTATTTGTGCGTTTATGTGTGTATGTATATATGCATGTGTGTGTGTGTGTGTGTGTATGTATGTATGTGTGTATTTGTGTGTTTATGTGTGTATGTATATATGCATGTATGTGTGTGTGTGTGTGTGTTTGTACATGTATTTGTGTGTGCATGTATGTATATGTGTGTTTCTGTGTGTATGTATATATATGCGTGTGTGTGTGTGTGTGTGTGTGTGTGATCCAGCAGTGTAATCATGTGTCAGTAATCAGTCAGGCTCAGTGTGGTAAACAGCTCTGCAGCTCATCTTCAGATCAGCTTGTGTTTCCATCGAGTGTAAAGATAAAAAACACAATTATGATAGCGGCGCGCGCTCGCTCGGTGTGTGTGAGGAATTAGCATAACACACTCCAGCGGCAGCGGCAAATCAATCCCTGCGGAAAGAGCAACTTAGCCAGATATCCATCAGGGGAATAATGGAAATGAATATGATTTTACACAAACACACAGACTATTCAAATAAACACGTCCCTCTGCCTCCAGAAGCCCAGAGGACACACACACACAC